GGATTTACTTTAGTTTCAAATTAAATTGAATTTTTGTTTTCTTATTCAACAAAACAATTGAAGCCAAAGATTAAAAGAAGATTGAAAAGAGTGATAAATAAATGTCATACAAAGATTTGCTCATATAATTGGCACACAATGTACTGAACATAATGTAAATTTATAAAACATATAAAATATGTATACAAATGAGACAAAACTAAAACTGAGCCGTAAAATGTGGATTTGATTTATACTATAAACTATGCATAAAGTAATTGTTATTTTATTTGAAGAATTTATAAAATATTTAAATTAAAAAATAACAACCTTAATACATTTTGTATTATTAAATGTTTAAAAATAACAGCAATAAAATTGATGAGAATACTAACCATAATTAATAATATTCATTATAAAAACTATATAATACAATCAATTTGAATGATATTTATTAGAAAATACTCATATTGTATGCCATTGTCATCAAATACATCTCAAACACCATTTCATTGTAAAAGTTTTTAACAAAAAATTATAAAATCAAAAATTAGGTAAAAATATTTCATTTAAAAAAAGCGCTCAAAACTGACGTTAAAAACCTTTTTAGCGCTCGTAATGATGACAGAGATTGTGAGCCAATAAGAGGCCAGCGTTTGAATAGTGGGCGGCGTTTGACGCGAAAGCAGTGAACGAACGGCTAATAAAACGGATAAATAAGTGGATGAATGACACAAATGTGTGATTGAATTGCATTGCATTTGACACTCGATTCACACAAACAGACCATTGATTACAAACACCGCTCTTATGTCACACGAATTGGTGACCCATTGAAGCCATCACTCAATTGATCCGTACGTTTGCTGTCACACAATCAGCGATCAACACATCGTCGCCTGAAGATGGCTGAAGAACAGGAACAGGACTTCTCGAAGCTGTCGATCGACGATCGCTGCGCTCATAAGGTTTGTTGTGATTGTCATCCAAACTGACCATCCATTGGATCCCTTGTTTCCTGTCAACCAATTTATTGTGTGCTTTATTGTCAATGCGTGAAGAACTGGAAGGCGAGACTCAGTGGTTACGAGTCGTTGACCTCTTTGTTCCAGACGTTGGACGACGAGAAGAGTCCAGAGTTTGTCAAATATGCGCCAATCGTCAAGAAATTGGTCGTCGACTCCAACGCCGCCGCACAGGAAAAGGGTTTGACATTTGATCCGTGTCTTCGACTTTTGCGGTCAATGATTAATGGATATTAATGTGATCACCAATTGGTAGGTTTGGCCGCCGTTTTGGCGTTCGTCGAGAACTACGCGACGGCCGGGAAGTATGTGGAGGGAGTGGTGTCAGGCATTATCACCAAATGCCTCATTTCACCCAAAGTCAAGACCCGAGAAACGGCTCATGAGATCGTTTTGATGTTCGTTGAGATCGAGAAACAAGAGTTAGTGATTGAAGAGCTAATCAAAGGGTTGGACAACAAAACACCCAAAATAGTGTCGGCGACCGTTTCGCTCATCAGACAGTGTCTTAACTCTTTTGGGGTTAAAATCATTAACGTTAAGCCTATCGTTAAGGTATAGAACAATATATGGTTTGCTTTTCATTAATGCATTATTTGTTCCCGTTTTCAGATAATTCCCAGACTTCTTGAAGACAGAGATAAGAATATCAGAGAAGAGGGAAAATTATTGTCTATAGAGTTGTTTCGGTGGATTAAAGAGGCCCTCAAACCGCAACTCCAGAACCTAAAGCCGGTTCAGTTGCAAGAGTTGGAGACAGAGTTCGAGAAAGTGAAGGACGAGAGACCGCGTCAGACGAGACTCTTGAGGTCACAGCAGGCAAAGGCCGAGTGCGGGGCCGATGACGGCAATGAGTTGGACGGAAACGCGGGCTCGCATTCAGTGCCCGAACCGGAAGTGGTGATCGATCCGTACGACCTGATGGAACCCGTGGACATACTCTCCAAAATACCCAATGATTTCTACGAGTTATGTGAGGCTAAGAAATGGCAGGAGAGGAAGGAAGCGCTGGAAAAGCTTCAGGAATTACTGGACAAAAATCCGCGCTTAGTTTCCGGCGATTATTCAGATTTAGTGCGACTCTTGAAGAAAATGATCCAAAAAGACACTAATATTATAGTCGTTACGATTGCCATCAAATGTATGGCCGCATTGGCCACTGCCTTAAGGAAGGCGTTTCACGCGTACGCGAACTCTACTATTTCTATAATCATTGAGAAATTCAAAGAGAAAAAGCAAACCGTTGTTCAAGCATTGCGTGAAGCCATCGATGCGGTCATCGTTGCCGTAAGTATTCGTAATGCCATACTATATGTTATACTCGTATAGCGAAGTGCTTTGTTTTTTTTAAAAATTATTTTTATTGATTGTTAATGTATTGATAGACAACTCTTGAGGCTATCATTGAAGACGTGACGACTGCGTTGGACAACAAGAATCCTCAGATAAAGAGCGAAACGGCACTGTTTTTGGTCCGAACTTTTGCTAAAACTCATCCAAACGTATTGAATAAGAAATTGTTGAAAACATTTTGCACTTCTTTAATGAAAGTATGTTTATATTGAAAGCGTTGTGATATTGTTTTAATACTGAAATTATATATTTGTTAGACTTTGAATGACATGGACTCAACAGTACGCGATTCATCGGCTGAAGCCTTGGGAACCGCTATGAAAGTGGTCGGCGAGAAGACTATTACTCCATTCCTTCAAGGAGTGGAAGCCATCAAAATGACCAAAATTAAGGAATTTTACGATAAGGCAGAGGTGAAGGTTCAGGCGAGTGCTGCGCCCGTCGCCGCACCGGCCAAACCTCCAGCAGTGAAACGGCCGCCGAAGGCTAATATCGCCAAATTTTCGTCAGACGAGTCGATCGGAGGTTCGTCTGAAGAACTGAACGCTCCTTCGAAACTAGTGGCCAAAAAGGGTGTCAATAAAGCTGTCATTAGTAAACCGAAGAGTGCTATGGGAAGGCCTCAAACCAATGGTTCGGCATCTGATTTGGCGGCCAATTCTGAGGGACAAAACAAACCTAAATTTCTTACCAAAACTAAGACCACAAAAGTGACGACAACTAAACCGACCGCTAGTTCTAAGAAACCAGAAGAAGTGACGTCCACTTCACCGCTGATGCCCTTAAATAAGATGAAAGAGCAGCGATTGGCCGATGAAAAGGCACTCAAAGTGTTGAAGTGGAACTTCACGACTCCGCGCGAAGAGTTTTACACTCAGCTTAAGGAACAGATGATTAACGCCGAATGGCAAACAAATTTGATTACCAGTTGCTTTCACTCTGACTTCAAATTTCATATAAAAGCAATCGATTCGATGAAAGAGTTCTTAACGGTCGGCAATTTGGAGGCCACGGCAGCCAATTGTGATCTAATCCTCAAATGGATTGCCTTAAGATTTTTCGATACAAATCCATCGGTTATTCTCAAAGCGTTGGAATATTTACTGCTTATCTTCGATGCCTTTCACACCAATAGTATTAATCTTTCGGATTCTGAGGCCAACTCTTTTATGCCGTATTTGGTTCTCAAATCGGGTGACCCTAAAGACGCCGTTCGTAATAAAGTACACGATATCTTCAAGACATTGGGACAGATATACTCGCCGTCGAAGATATTCACGCATTTGATGACTGGTCTGCAGTCGAAGAACGCCAGACAGCGAATGACGTGTTTGGATGAGTTGGCGAATCTGATCGAGTCGTGCGGACTCAGTGTCTGTCAGTCGACAATCTCTATAACAATGAAAGAAATCGCGAAATTCATCGCCGATAGGGATAACGGCGTCCGAAACGCAGCGCTTAATTGTGTGGTTCAGGTCTACTTCATTGAAGGCGAGAGGGTTTACAAACACATCGGACAGCTCTCTGACAAAGACTCGAGTCTTTTGGAGGAACGCATTAAGAGAGCGTCGAAGAATAGGATACCACCGGTTCCGCCACAATCAGCGCCCGCAGCTGTCAATGTGTCGACTGTACCCAAAATGACGAGCGCTCCCAATATAATGCCCGATCGACGCGAGAACCGAACTCCTAGTCCTCCGAACACTGCAACCATTACTAAACAATTCAGTGCAACGAAGACTATAACCAGACAACGGCCCAAATCTATGGGTCCTTTGGGTCCACTTTCTCTGGATTTGGAAGAAATTGAACAAAGAGTTGGTTCTAATATGAAAAGAGAGAGAAGAACTCCGCCTAAGAATATAGGACTTACTTATAGAGCGAGAGATATGTATAGCGAGGAAAATGTGGACGAAATTCTCAATTTACCGGACATTCAGATCCGAAAGAGTATCTCTTCATCAATGGCTCCGATGAATAAAATGCTGAACTCATCGCCAAAAGCAGATGTGGCGCTCAATCTAGTGATGGCTCAGTTGTCGTCGCAGGAAATCAGTGCCGCAATGGAAGCGCTCTCGCAGTTGTCTCAACTGCTGGAAAACGATACAAAGGCTGAAGCAATTCTCACACCAAAAGTGGATCAACTCATTATAATGTGTTATATGCAGTACAGACTCTTTCTGACCAAACATTTGGCCGATCAGTCGATACCCAGATCACAGGCCGTCGATCTCTTCAAAGGAGTGACAAATGTTTTGCTCACTTTGTTTTCAAAACCATATTTGGGTCGAAAGGCGAGTCGAGATGTGTTGCGGGAACTCATGTCACATATGATACAACTTCTCGTTGACTCCAAACTCATTGAATTAAACGAAAACAAAGAGATTATTAAAAGTGTAAATCTTTTGGTGTCGAATGTGATCGCAGGTTCCGACTCCACAAACATTGTTTCGGCATTAATTAAATTATTACACGATTGCGTCAGTAATTCAATCAACGCTTCGCCCAAATTCATGGATATGATTATGAAGTGCTTATGGAAAATATGTCGAAATCTCGACAATTACATCGAAAACATGGTTATCGACAAAGTTCTCGTTGAAGTCCATCTCTTCCTTAAGGCGTTTCCAAGTAATGAATTGAATTGAATGCTTGAATGAGTCCATTATTGAATATGTATTGATTAATATTGATTTGTTGTATAGGTTTGTGGTGGAAGGAGAACAACAAGAACGACACTCCGTTGCGAACCATTAAAACACTCACTTATCTCATTGTACACCAAAAGGGAGAATCGATTTTCACTCATTTGACTTTAATTCAAGACCGAAATGAATCCGAATTATGCCATTATATACAGAAAGCACTCAAACAGAGCGATAAATTAGTGAAAACTTGTTCTCAAAAGACAAACCAAAACTCTTCTCCATTAAAGATGACGAAATCAGCGCAAAATCAATTGATGTCAATATTGAGCAAATTGGGAACCGATGAGAATCAGGACGGAATGGAAGAGCTCTACGAATTCACTCAAACTTATCCTCAAATATCTTTAGAGCCTTATTTGCAGAAGTCTTCCGAGAATTTCAAAGACTTTATAGCCGACAGTTTGCGTAAAATGCGAGCCGAAAGGCAGACTTTAACCACTGGTAAAGCTCTCGAAACCAATGGCAGTCGTTTGCAGACCAACAGCGCTAACGGCGAGGAGAGGTATAAGCGGACGGCCTTTGCACGCGTGCCTCCGCCCCAGAACCAGAAGGAGGCGGTCGAGTGGTTGAAGTCAGCGGCCGGTTCTCTAGGCTTTGATGCCAACAAATACAACGATAAGGACATCATTTCCCAAATGTCTTCAACCGAATCCATCTCTAATATAGAAGAGGCGGAAATGGCTGTCAGGAGAGCGCAGGAGACGCTCGAGAAGTTCAAGAAAGCGTACGCTAACGGACAGAACAGGACTACATCATTTCCCAAATGGCTTCAACCGAAACCATCTCTAATATAGAAGAGGCGGAAATGGCTGTCAGGAGAGCGCAGGAGACGCTCGAGAAGTTCAAGAAAGCGTACGCTAACGGACAGAACAGGACGGACATTCCCGACTACCGATAGTGCTCTCACTCTCACGTCTATTATATACTTATAATCGTTAGTTCTTTTGTATAAATCATTTCATATTATTTTCAATTCATCAGTCGTTTTACTTTTCGCATAGATTTCTAATTATTTCTTATTAATACTAATCCTTATTATTCTCTCATTTTAAATTGAAAAATGGTTTTAATTATATATTCTTATTAAAAAATATAATATTTGAAACAATTTCTATATTATTTATTTTAATTATTTAAAAAATTTTTGAAAAATTAAATAAATTTGTTCACTAAAGCAATGCCTTCGCATTCAATCATATATTGTTTGCTTTCGACAATTGTTTTCACTTCAAATTTAGCCTAAAATTAAAATCATAAATAAATAAATTTGTAATAAAATTAATGATTCAAATGATAGCTTACGCCTGATATTAATTGTGCGAAATGTATAGCCGTTAGTGTGTGTTGAGTGAGTGGACCCGTCTTTATACTGGATTTGCCGCTCGAAAGCGCCATAAATATGATTATCTAATTGTTATAAAAATCAATTATTAATTATGTTTAATGTGTTTGAAAGCATTTAAGCACAGAGTATGTGGTGTTTCAACGAACCTGATCCTGAAGGTAACGGTCAACAGTTGAGCCGTAACTCAGATCTTCTATTAAATCTTTGGCTGCGCTCTCACCGACCGCTTCCGTACTAATAGACTGTTTGCCTAAAGCGGATCCACAGACACGACATCCCGTCGACGATTCGGCGATGAGTCTGAATGTGTCCAAAATATTGTAATCAACAATAAAATTGGTTTCATATTTGAGTCGAGACTCACATAATTCCAGATCCGTTGCCGAAAGCCTTGTCTCGGCTTTCGTGGACTCTCTTGACATCGATAGGAACGCCTGGAAAGGCCTCTCGAAGCAGATTAATAGCTGAATCGGCCATTGAATGTGTCATCTGTTGATTGCAAACCAATTCATATGAGAAACAATCAAAAGAAGTGATAAAAGTGTATACTTTAATGGGCAGAACTCCGGCCACAAAACTATATCCACTAATTTTGGTTAATTGTCCCAATTCTGTCATTTGGATGGCCTTCAATCCAGAGACCGGTTCCACAGTAAACATCACTTCTCCGCCTCCTTTAGGATAATATCCGCGACGAATGACATCACAATCAAAGGAAACGCCAAATCGCTCTAAAATAGGTTTCAATACCTTTTAATTCAAACAAAACATTCAAACATTTGTTAATTCAGTCCAAAATCAATACATTAATTGTGTAATCAATTTGTGGCGCCATTTCTGCATTGGTTCCGCCCTTCAGACAAAGATATGATGTTTCACTCGCGTAAAGAAGACACGGAAGCGATGTCTGAAACAAGAGAGTGACGCTTCTGTCATACAAACAGATGTATCAATTGGTCAGTAAGTGATGAATGGATTAATTGTGGTTTCAATGAATACCCGGCAGTTTTGGTGTCGCCAAAGAAGTGGCCGGAAATGAGTTGTTTCGGCATAAACTTGATATCAGTGGAGGAGAACTGATCGCCAATGAGTTGTCCGCAAGTGATGTCCCGAATCAGATGCAGACCAACCAAATGCTGAGCCTTTAGTCCCGGCTTTGATCGTCCGCTTCGGATGTTTGAGATATGGATCTGTTGTGACAACAATGCGCTCAAACTCATCGATATTCGTA